TTAATACAATATATATGTGATGACCATTTGTGATAAAAAGTAAATTTTACTTAGGAGGATTATAAACTTGACTTATACATATATACATAAGTTTAATGTACCGTTTTATAAATAGCGTTACAAGATCCAAGAAATTCATATAAATTTGTCAATTAAATATTGAAAAGGATCATAAATAAAAATCTCAATTTTGAGAATCTTGCACAACTTATTCCAAACCACATAAATGTTAGACTTAAAGTATGGATATAGCATAGACCCATCATATACCTAGTGTTTAATATTCAACTTGGAAAAGAGGAGTGGATGAGATTCGAATACATTCTAATATGTTTGAAAACTAAGTTAACTAAAAACTTAGTTAATGGTTAAAGCTCAAGATTGGTTTACGACATACTATGTCAATTAATCATGATTTGTGCAATTTAGTAAGATTTTACAACCCTAGAACAATTGAATGTATTGATTTAATCATCCACCCTCAACACCCCCCCCCCAAATTGATTCAAAGTAGGATCTTGATCTAGACTACACACCTTAGATTAGCTAGAACATATCATTTCTTAAAAAATACTTCGTTTGATATTTAGATTATTAAAAGACATGTGTATAATGTTTCCTAGTTCTAGTAGAATAAGGTTGGTGGTCAATTTATATGTAAAAAAAAAAGGTATAGAGGGTTATTAATTATGTGTCATGATAAGTGATATTGGTGTGTTTCTACTCACTAATGAAAGATTGGTCATTCCTCATTTTGCATCTCCATTCCACAATTTAAGAGGATCCTCGTGGCATGGATTTGAGAAATTTTACTAATTAATTTAATTAAGGAAAATTACGAATTTTCTAATGCGTGAAACTCGTGATAATATCTCTATATATGCAACACAACTTGTGAAGTTATTGTGTATTGTCATGTTGATGATTAATAATGGAAGTTGTATTAAACAAATTTTACAATGTCAATTTTACAAAAGGGTGACTTCTAAACGACTTGAAATTACTAAGTGTGATGTATATACAAATGTAAGCAGTACAATTTAAAACGAAATTAATCTCTTTCAAGAGATGTTATATATATTTTATTTTTTGAAAGCTTTATGCTTTATAAGTTTAATGCAGCTAGATGCCTAATAACAGCCTTTTTGGCATTTATATTTCCTGAACTTGTCTTATTAAAACTTAGCTGACCGTATATATTCTTAATTAAGTGAATAATTGAAAATTAGGTGAATTGAATAAAGATACATTCTAATAAGAATTGATAAGAGTTGTCTTATTTGTTAATATATAAATTCATGAGATAATGGACTATGGCTATCGTTATGTCCCGTAGATGCCATATACATATTAGACTACAAGTTTACATTGATCAATTCTAGCAAATTGTGTACACACTAAAAAAATTCTTAAAAAGAAAAATAATACTCCGTAATTTACTTACAACAGTCATAATTATAACTATAATACTTGGTATGAAAAATGATAGTATAGTGAGTTTGTGACGTTTCAAGGAGTATAATGCTGATGGCCATCATCTGCCATGCAGAAACTATGGGCATCTGCCACTGAATATGTGAGATGAGTAAAAATCCATTGAACAAATAAGGAAATATTATTTCTATATATACTATAATATTAAAAACATTTTTCTAAAAACTACGTATTTATTTAATAATTCTGTGTGTTTGATCTTTATGTTACATAAGGTTATATACTTATGTAAAAACATTTTATCAAGTTAAATTTGGCTGATCTTTAAATTTTTGATAGTTTGTGAGTGTCGTGACAATTTTGTGTCAAATTAATGTTGTTGAAGTGTAAACTTCCAAATAAACAACATAGGTAATGTTAAATACGGGTCTGGGTCGTACCCTTCACGGGAGAGTGCAAGTCCACCACTTTACAAGACCAAGGAGGTTCCACCTCAAAACCATATGGCAATGAGGAGAGTAGCCCCTTAGCCTTATATAGTGGTGGTAACTCTTGAATTCTTCCAATGTGGGATTTTTCATTACCACTACACGTAAGTATTCATAATGAATCAAGGAAATTTTGACAATTACCACCTTCTGTTATGTCCATTTTAGCAATTACCACCTTCTATTTTTTTTTTTTTTGAAAATTACCACCTTTTATTTTCAAAAAATCAAAAGTTACCACCTTCTTGCCCCCCAACTAGCACGTGACGTCATTTTGGGCCAATTCTTTCCCTTCCCTCCCTATTTCCCTCACATTTCTCATTCCTATTTGGATTCTCATCTCCCCTTTCACTTTTTTCCCCCCAAACCACCAATAATTTTCCGTCAATTTTGATTTGGAGGAGTGAATTGAAGAGTTTCTGAATTTTTGGGGGAAAATAAGTGAATGAGAAGGTAAGAATCGAGTTATGGAAGAGAAATGGGAGAGAAATAGGGAGGAAAGGGAAAGAATGAGCCCAAAATGATGTCACGTGGTAGTTGGGAGGCAAGAAAGTGGTAACTTTTGATGTTTTTGAAAATAGAAGGTGGTAATTTTCAAAAAGAAAAATAGAAGGTGGTAATTGCTAAAATGGACATAACAGAAGGTGGTAATTGTCAAAATTTCCATGAATTAATGATAAAAGATGAGAGAGTTAATTAAATGCTTTATAAGACTAAGAATCGGAGCTACTTCTCCTATTCACATATGATTTTTTAATAGAACCTCTTTGGACTTGAAGTGAAGTCTCTCACTTAGTTGTGGGTGCAGTCCAAAACCCGTATTTAACCCTTGAGATTATTACGGTTGTAGGATAATTTTAATTCCAGCTAGTTTAAGTCTTTCAACTTTGGACCAACCAAAATCTTTCTAAAATTTAGCCTTTTGTTTTTACAGATGTCACTATACCAAAAACCAACTACTCGTAACTTTTTCTTAATTTGCTATTTTTACAAATTAAATATTGATCAATATCAATAATGCAAAATATCATAAAGAAAATCTTCATAATGAAGTAAACAATGCAAGCCATAAATGCAAAATCAAAGTTGGATACCGCATCCCATAGGATTATGCAACTTAATTAGCTTGCATTTAAGACTTACAAACACTTTTTACTTCTATCTTTCTTGGTTTCTTCTCATAATCTACTAACTCTCAAACAAAATTAGAATAAAAAAATGAATCTTCCTATCGAACATCCCCGAAATATTGGATAATCCTTTAAAATATATTAATTTGAGAAAGCATATTAAAATCACACATCGATTAGTGTAATTAATATTTATTTTAAATTAATATTTAAACTTTAAATTTTTATTTTATCCAACGCTTTCAGGATTTGCTTTCGTCTATGAAAATACTACTTCACCAACAAAAACGGTTTACACATACCTTTCATGCATATATGGTCAAATGGTGGTAAAACATGTGCTCATGACTTTCTTCACGTCATATCTGTAGTTTCCACATATACTAATTTACATAATTATGGTACTTTTCTGTTAAAAAAAATTGCATCATTAGTCTTTTTAGGATTAAATTTTAAGAACTTTTACCATAAATTATTATCGGTATATAAAAGAAAATATAGTCAAGTGATGTGTTGTTGATTCTTGATTGAAAGTGTCTCAATATATTTAATTTCAAAGCATCAACTTTTAAAAGTTTAACAATGCACAAGTAAAGATATGCATGATCGAATGAGTACATTAGATTATCGTTAATAAACCGTTTATGCAATTATTAAAAACGAAAAAAATATATAATATTTAAATGTATGGAATAAAACGGCTGACTCTTATTTTAAACTTTTAGTTCATTACAACAAATTTTAATTTGCATTTATTATTTACTTATTATGTGTCCTCCAATTATGCCTTTGATGTGTGCTTGCGTGGTAGTTGGTCAGCATCCTTTCCTTAATACCACACCTTTGACATGAGAATGTAGGCACAAACGTGGTGTGCTATTCTCACTTCAAAATTCTTTCCCTTGGTATATATGTTGCTATATGTCATCACTTGTAAGTTATTTTATTAAGAACGGCCGAATCGGAGTACTTTTTTTGTTCAATATAAATAGTCACATTTCATTTAAGCTATCTTAAAATTGTCTATAAAAACGGTATTTTTTATTTCCTATAATAACTACATTATGATTTATAATCTCATTACCTAATATAATGTGTTTGTGAAAAAAAAAATTCTCATTACCTAATGTGTAGTACTATTTACTTAATAATGATAGATTAATGATCCCATTACCAAATACATGGTATATACTTAATCAAATTCATGTTGATAAATGGTACTCCATAATATAGTTGCATAAAAAATAAATGGTAACATAGTAGTAAATACTCTTCATATCAGATCTTTGTGAATTAATATCAAATACTTGTATTTAATTATTGGAGGTTATTATATTTGATTATGAAACAATTTTAGATGGATGAAGAGTAATTAAAAATTAATGATTTGATTATATATTCCTAATTCTCTTCATACCATCTAATAACGAATGAACTCATTGCCAAATACATTGTATTTACTTAATCAATTTCAGAGTTTTTTTTTTTTTTTTTTGACAAGATCAAATACAGAGTTGGTAATGGTAATACATGGTAGTAATTAAATAACAATTATTGTAAAATAAAATATCTTTGTGAATTAATATCATATTATTGGAGGTTATATTATTTGATTATGAAATTAGATGGAGGAAGTACATTTAAAACTCATAAAACTTAGGATACCAACAAGAAAGAAACTTTAGATTACAAAACAATGTCATATCAATTAGTGAAGGATATGAATAAGAAGCTACTTCTCAAACAAAAAAAAAAAACAAAAAAAAAAGGATAAGAAGCTACATAAATGTAACAAAATAAAACCGTTAATTAATAAGAGGACATATTAAATAAAACGAAATCACGCGTAATTTTGTCATAAATTTCTAAAGATGAATTACTGGTATTTATATATAGAATATTGTTGGTATCAAAGTCATTAATTATGTTATGTACAACTTTCTTTAGTCATTAAGGTGGAGAAATCTCATACGATGTGAATAATAATTAATTTAAAATTCGCCATATGGCAACCAAGTGTAAATTAAATTACTAACACGCAGCAAAAGAGATGTGCTGAATTTATGGAAAAAAATTTGCAACTATCAATAACCCCCCACAAACACAATGGGGGTATTTTAGTCTTTCACCCAAAATCTTTAACAAATAAAACAAATTACAAAAATTGCCCTCACAAGTTGACTCTAATGGCGGCCCTTTTAGCCTTCTCTATATAAAACAAACAGAAAAACATTTCTTCTTCCTACCTTCATTCTTTCTCTCCTCCACTTTCTCTCTCTAGAATTTAAAGAAGAAGAAAAAAATGGATTTTGATCAAGAAGATGGTAAGAATATGATGATGAAGGGTATTTGGGTAAATGTGGTAGTATTGGTAACAATAGCAATAGCAACAAAATTAGTGTTACAATTATGGTGGAGACCAAGAAAAGTTGCAAAGCATTATTCAAATCAAGGAATTAAAGGGCCTCCTTATAATATCTTCATTGGTAATATGAAAGAATTGGTAGAAATGATGCTCAAAGCTTCTTCACAACCTATGACTCTTTCTCATAATATTCTTCCTAGAGTCCTTCCTTTCTACCATCATTGGAAGAAACTTTATGGTAAGTAATTCCCACTTTTTATTTCATAAATTGACCGTTTCATACCAACAGTCAGTAAGGTTGCGTACATCTGAACCTCCTGCTCTTTGGCGAGCATAGGGTGTATGTCTTGCTCGCCCTAAAGCAAGAATTTTGTGTTTTGTGTGTATGATCATGTTTTGCTTGTCATGGTTTTTGTCAAGTGGTGACTAGGGAAGAAAACAAACCTTTCTTTTCTTTTGATTCAAAAGATGCCAAAAAATTGATTTTACTTTTGATTTGAAAGGTTGGGAGGATCTGAAAAATATGATGAAATTCTAATTATTATTGCATCCAACCTTTTTTTTTTTTTTTTTTACAATTTCCTTTCTTTTTCACCTTGTTCCCATCTTTGCATACAAAAAAATTGTCCATTTTTTCATACAATTTTTTTTTGTAATTAATTCTAAGCAATGTATATTGGGTTAAATTTTAAGGGTGTTTTAATTTAATTTGATTAAAAATTAAAAAAAATTCATGGATCATGTTTTGGAAGTACTACATAGGAACTGTTTTTGAGCTGTCTTCTTTCCACCCTCTCACTTTCATCATAAATTCACTATAACATTATTCTCTTTCTCTCTCCTCAATTCATGTTTCCTAATTTCCTAACTAGTTTTTTATCATCACATATTCATGATCATGTAATAAATTTTCTCCTATGTTTTAATAACAACTTAATTAGAAAGTATTATCATTATTATTATTACAGTTCACATGATTAATGATAATTGCACCATAATTTCGTTATAAGTTAAGAAAATTAACCATTTTATTGAATTTTTTTAAATAGGTGCAACTTACCTTATATGGTTTGGACCGACCCCAAGGCTAACCATAGCGGATCCGGGTCAAATAAGAGAGATTTTATCTACCAAAGCAGAATTCTACGAAAAATACGAGTCTCATCCTCTTGTAAAAAAACTTGAAGGTCATGGTCTCATATCTCTTAAAGGCGACGTATGGGTTCATCGTCGCAAGACCATTTCACCCATCTTCCATCTCGAAAACCTTAAAGTAAGTTACACTCTTGATTATACCAGTGCTAATGCACGGAATATTATTTTTTTAATTTAAAAAACAACGTTATTTATTTATTTTAGTTGTTGTAACAAGAAAGATACTATCATGTAAATATGATATATCTATGTTTATTTACATTTATTACAACCCATAAAAATGTAATAAACTTATGGTTAAAAATGGTAAATGTTGAGCAGATGATGATACCCATAATGGGAAAGAGTGTGGCCCATATGTTGGACAAGTGGTCCTTGATTTCGAATTCGGGCAAGGTTGAACTGGAAGTCTCAGAATGGTTTCAAAATTTGACAGAAGAGGTTATTACAAGGACTATTTTTGGAGCTAGCTATGATGATGGCAAGAAGATCTACCAATTACAAGCTAAGCAAATCGTCTTCGCCGCCGAGTCCTTTCAAAAAGTCTTCTTCCCTGGCCAAAGGTATGTAGATTAAAAATGTTGTTGGTACTCGACAATACTGCTGCTACTGCGCTGCTGATGTATAAAACGTACATACATACAGTAGCAGCAGTACTGTATTGTACAAGACTGATATACTCCCAGCCAAGCACGCTTAATAATAACAATATTGTTATTATTAATAATATAATATAGGAAGAGAATTGACGCGTTTTGTTGTTGTTGTCCTTTTTATTTCGTCGCAGATTCCTGCCAACGAAGAGGAACAGAACGACGTGGAAACTAGACAGGGAGATCGAGGCATCATTAATGAAGTTGATTAGTCAGAGGAAAGAGAGTCTATTAAGACGACGGGAGGAGGAAGAAGGAGTCGGAGTCGGAGTCGGAGTCAGAGTCAGAGACGGAGGAGAAGGAGAGGAATGTCATAGGGATTTATTGGAGATACTAATAGAAGCAAGCATGAGTAATAACAATAATAAAAACACAAGTGAAAAAAAGATAACAGATAATGATATAGTAGAAGAGTGTAAGAGTTTCTTTTTTGCTGGGAAACACACAACTTCAAATTTGTTAATATGGACAAGTATACTCTTAGCAATGCACCCTCAATGGCAGCAATTGGCACGTGAGGAAGTTATGAGGGTGTGTGGAGCACGTGATATCCCAACTAAAGATGATGTTTCAAATCTAAAGACAGTAAGTAGTGCTAATTTAAAGTGCTCTTTTTTCGACTAATTTTATTTCCTCTTTTTCTTTTTGTCCGCATGCATATTCTTGTCTAATTTCAGGAAGAAATTAATATAACCATTTTTCAATTTTTATTATTATTTTTTTTTAAAAGAAACCCCTTTAATTAAATAAAAGTGCTTAAAACAAAATTAAAAGGACAGTCCTTAATTAGATAAGAGTACGATCTTATTAGTGCTTTGTCATTTGGTATTTTGGTTAACAAAAAATTTAAAAGTATTGTAATTGTATTTAATAAAAAAAAGTACTTAAACTCTAATTTTTATACAATTTTTTTTTTTCCCACCTATATAATTAGTTTATTAAGAGATTGATTTTGTGGATAGGTTGGATATTCCGAGTATATTACTTAGCTTTGCCAAGCTGATGTTACAAATTTGATTTTATCAAGTACTTCGTATGTTATATCTATATGATAATGTTACTATAAGAAGTCAATAGATAGGATGTGTCTTTTTTACAAAATAAATTAAATAAAATATAAATAAAAATGGCACACTTGGCTTATCGTATGGGTTTCTGCCTCTCACGATTATTCTTCAATGGCCATTGTCTTAAATTATTTTTAGTATGGCTTACATTTTAAGTAATGTAATTAGTTGATGAATAATTAATTTGACAAAAAAAAAATCTACTACGGTAAAATGTCAAATTTGGCAAGAAAATTTAGAATTCTTGTGCATTTTGTGTTATTTCTTTAATTATTGTCTCTCAAAGTACAATTGAATAACATGTTTTCTTATTCATGCAGCTATCAATGATCATATCTGAAGTCTTAAGGCTCTATCCACCAGTAGTAGCAACAATTCGACGAGCCAAAACACAAGTAGACCTTGGAGATATTAACATTAAAGAAGAAACCGAGCTCTTAGTCCCAATATTAGCCGTCCATCATGATACCACAATATGGGGCCCGGATGCATCGGAGTTCAACCCGTCCCGTTTCTCTCAAGGCGTGTCCCGGGCTGCCACCCACCCGACCACCTTTATGCCATTCGGCCTTGGGGGGCGCCAGTGCATCGGGCAAAACCTAGCATTGTTACAAGCCAAATTAGCTATAGCCATGATCTTGCAAAAGTTCACATTTGAGATATCACCCAATTATAAGCATGCACCCACCGTTTTGATGCTCCTTTACCCTCAATTCGGAGCTCCGATTATATTTCGGAGCTTGTAGGATCCTAGATCCGACCTTAACCTACATAAATTATGTCCTACATACAGAGAAAACCCAACAAAATAATTTTTACTCCTTTTACTCCCTTTCTTTGATTTTCTTAATTCCTTTTTTGGTTTGTCTTGATGGTTTGCTAACTTTTTTGCCAAAACACTAACCCTATGTGAAAATATTAGTTGTAGGACTAACTTTTTTTTTTTTCCTTTTTTGATATGCTTCTTGTGTCACTCAATGTAATTAAGTATATATTTGTATACATTTGCTCCTGACTGACACCTTGTAATAATATAACAAAATGTTTATGTTATGCACATCTTTGTTCCGTTAGATGAGCACTTGGCTCTTTTCATGCATATAAATTAGAATATTTAAAAAAGTGTTCATATTTCATAAGTAATTATGGTGTGACCGTGTGAGCGGTTAGGATAATGCACCACCTTAATCCAAGCGACGATGGAAGTAAGCCTTGAGGTAAAAACGAGTTCAAAAGGAGGACAGATACAGTTATCAAAATCAAATTTCGTCTCCATAAGCGCACTTCAATGAGGTACATGTAGAGCAAAGAAGATAAACAAATTTGAACACAACTCTCAAAATCCATTTTATTAAAAAGATATGATATTTCCCCCAAAAAAAAATAGTAAAAATGTCAACGCTTATCATGGTGACATACATTAGAATGTCACAATAATACATCGCTGTCAAGGCAAAGGAATAATAGAATTGACAAATAATAATAATAATAATAATAATAATAATAATAATAATAATAATAATAATAATAATAATAATAATAATAATGTAGACAGTAGTACAGTAGTAGGAGCTAGGAAGAAGCTGATATCAACAACGCGGAAAGCCTAACTGCACACAAAGGGGAACATCAGTAATGAGGACAGCTTATGCTTATCATGCCAGATGATCAGATAAACTAATTTAAGCTTGTCATTAAAATTATTAACAAGATGCAATTAAATAAATATAAGCACAGGAAAATTATTAGAGGAGGATCAAGGGGGGTGTCTGGGTAGCAACTAATCATCATCAAATACTGTTTTCGGAACGCGACGTCGAAAACAACTCGGATGCTTCAAAATGTACAGGGAAAAAAATAGGTATTGACTTTACAATGAGCAAAGGGGTTGCAAATTGGTGTCTTCAAAATGTATGCAAGGGGCATGAATCTTGGTAAAAGGATGAAACATTGGTATATAAATATTAATTTCATGAGAAAGAAAGTAGGTTTCACATTTTTATTGTTAGGATGGATGACAAAAGAGGAGGCACAGCTATTGTTATCTGATAATGTCTGAAAATATAGTAATATTAAGGAATTCAGTTAGTCAAAAGAGCACATGATGTCACATTATTCATTTTTAAACTCATAATTTAAGTACTATTCAGGGAATTATCAATGTGAACCACAGACAAAATTTGGCAAGTTATTAAGAAAGATAATCCTGAAATAGAGGGTATCATCAGCAAAACGTTCTATCAACCACGCGTATGTGTACATATAGATGTCATATATGTGGTGCAACCAATTACCTTTCAAGCAATGCCAGTAGACGTGATGCAACTACTGTATTGAATATTAGTCTTCCGGCTGCAAAACGTTTTAATTGATCATCGTGCACCTGAAGAATTCTAGTGAACATCCTGAATTGGGATTAATAAGAATCGGACTAAAGATCAGAGTCATATATTAAGTTGGGATACATGACAATATAAGTGATTCGAGGACAAGCGACAAGTAAGTTAATCAGAAAGTTGTAGCACAAAGAAAGTAGAAAATACAGGTACTATGATTCCAAAGCATGACAATTAGCAGTAACGTACAGTAATTGCCAGGTTTAGAATCAACATCAATAACAAACAGGAAAGAATTTCTTGAAAGATAAAATAACAATTTCGACATAAAGCATAAATAAACAAAGGGAATTACAGTAATCAAAATGCATATATTGATAAATGAGCAGTAAATAAACAAAATGACACAGAGCACAATACAAAGGGGTAGGTTCAGCTAGTTAAACGAGACCCCAAAATTTGGAGCAAAAATGCCAGGGTTTCCATATTGTACAATTCAAGACAATGATCTAGAGCTTCAAAATAGCAAAGTGTTATTTGTCCCCTTGCTTATTATTAGTTGGAACTACAATATGTTAAGTATAATAATGCACTAGATAAGCACATATACCGATTTTAACAGTGGAAATACCCGTGGTGTATGCCGGAGAGTGGAGCTTTTGATACAACCATGCCATTCTTAATTCCCTTAATCCGATGAAGATAAAGCAGAGAAACAGTTACACTATAAAAACTGTGAAGTTTCTTTCGAAAGCTGGAACACCTTTCCCTACTTTTAAAGCATTTTTAATCATATATTACATAAGCATGTAGATGATTACCTTCTAGCAAGGAGCAATCTGGAGCATACCGATGTGAACGCACATATTTTACATGTCTAAAATTGATCCAATTGAATATCAAGCTGAATTTTGTGATAGGGACAGCATTTTTAACTTGTAATCCAAAACTATCCAAACCTAAACAACCTGCAATTTCTTCAGTCAGCTAATATCAAATCATTAAATGCCAATTGAGCTGAAGCGAAATATGACAAATTAACAACCAGAATTAGATGAAGACCTTTTTGGTCAGGACTTTAGGACTAACCTGTTTGTAAAAGACAGAGAGTGTCACATATGTATGTTATAATCATTTGACATGTAGTTAACATGACTTTTAGACAGTTTTCTTTCTCATATTTGTCTTGAGGTGTTAACAATCAATAGAATGACATTAAGTCTATCAATGTTTCATTTTATAATTAATGACTCATTAATTAGCTTATCTTAAAGTGCATTTTCATAATGCATTCACAGTCACAAGTTTATATTTGGAAATTTGCATATATTATCATAGCTGCAAACTTTGATAGGTCTTCTAAACAAATATTTAAAAAGCAGCACCAACAGATTGCGCTAGCTAGAAGCTTAGAAATAAAAAAATTTGGGTTATGAACAATTGAACATGAATTTTCAACCTCATTAACCCGACCTACAAATTACCAGAACCAATACATTTACATTTTACACCCCACATCCGACCTAAGCAATGAGTTTGCACTATATTGTATCCCATTTCCGTTGCTCGTAATAATGCGTTGCTAAGGACCACCCAGCAACTCTAACTGCAGTATACCAGTTTACATGGCCCTTGTACTACAAACTACAGCCTAGAGCTGACTCAATATCCATACAGACCCATCAAAGGAGGTACTACCCAGTGAATCTGCAATCAACAAACATTACCCATTGAGACCAAATGGAGGAAGCTGAATATAAATGACTTCAATCATCCAGTTCTTCCATCTTTCTGTTTCCACAGTGAACTTAACATTACCTGGCAAGATAGCCAAATCTACCAACTATATGCCCTCATGGGACCACGAGGTTTCTTCTTTATTGATTATTCTATTGTCCTTCGAAGCTGTTTGAACTGATTACTAATTGATGGTCCCCAAAAGGCATGTGGCTAGGAGATCTACTCTCTGTCCTACTTGTAAAGAGATTGTGAAATTTTATACATTTAAAGAAAAAAGAAGCATCATGCCTAATTAGCTCCTAATACCTACTTATTTAATTTCTTAACCAAAATCCTAGCTTCATACATCTTTATCTTAACACCTAGCCTACAATGGTCTACCATTTTTAAGGATGTAATAATGAACGTCGATTAAGCAAGAAACGTGCATCTTCTGAACTTTCCGTAGCACTGAGACACTGTATGAGTGACCATTAAGTTATCATTAACAATTACTAGTAAGTGGTAATAGTAAATGCCTATTTGGTTCTGCTGTTTAGTTTCATGTCTTTATAAAAAAAAAAAAAAAAAAAAAGGCAAACATGTCTGTAGCTTTGATCTGAATAGCTAATAAAGAATCAAGTAAACTACATATTTGGGAGGAAAAAGTTACTGAGTAGGTATTAAAAACAGTTGCTTTTGTACCAAAGAGGCACTATCAAAGACATCAACCTATGACAAATCTACATAAGCCATCAACGTTAAAGTGTGTCAAAAAAATAAATTCAGCAGTGTCTTCTTAAGTTCTTATCCCTTTGTTTGCCAATATCTTTTCAGATGATTTTACATTAAATGTCATGTAATCTAAGCTAAAATATCAACCAAGATCTTAGCATATGCCAGCTTTCAGCTGGATTCCAAACTCCAAAGCACTATCCTAATCTTCTAACCAAAGCACCTTCTTATTCTTCTGACATGACAGTAGGTATACTCATGCAATGAACTTGGCAAAGCAAACATTAACATCATTCAATTTAAATAATTTCCTTTCAACCACAAATCACTTCTACGAAACCCGACTAATAGCATTTAGAAGTTATCTGTTTCCTTTATCTTCTTACATTGATAACTGCTCAATCTATTATTGCCTCACATTCGTGTTTAGCATCATGTATGAAAATGTGCATTTTAAATTCACTCTATTGAACTAGCCCACCAAATCCATCACCAACAGTTGACATAGAAGGCATCAACTCATCAGGATCCTTTAATATGATGTACTTTAGTTAATTGTACTGGGTCAGTAGATTGCTTCTAATATATAATCTGTTTTTAAACTTGTTCCACCAGTCCCTCTGCCGAATCCCAAATAAAACATCTCAATACAACTGATATTCCTAAAAAGACAAAAGCCTAAAACTTGCTTTTGAGTTTTCCTTTGCGTATTTGTGCAGGAATTAACATGTTTAACCGAGTCCACCAAAAACACGCATACATTAAATGTTAGGAACAGTAATGTAACCTCTTATGTTACTTGAAAGTCCAGAAGAAAACGAACACTTCTAGTAGCTCCTGCAAAAACAAAAGAGATCATATTGTTAGAAAACAAATAAAAGACAAAACAGCCCTTGATTTTAAAAATGAAAAAAAATGTAAAATATCGTACATTCTTCTCGGAGCTATCCAGCTCACCAGCTCATTTACCAATTAGACACATCCACAAATCCCTAGTAAATCCCTTAAATCCATGGCTGTAGATGACCTTTCCGCTTAAATCTTAATACTTTAAGAAACATTGTCTCCTTTGGTAACCTATGGCCAAAGCAATTTAACTGGCTTTGTCTAACCTTAATTTAAGCCACTTTGTCGGGCTTTTCTAATTCTCTTCCTATGATTGGCTGTCACCTGTTTTTTAATTTGTATAGCAGCACCAATCTCAGAGGGGCTGGTACTAGCTGCTAATTTATTTCAAAATGACAATGTATCTTTTCTAAGAAATAAAAAACAAGACTTTGGATTTTTATCAGTGAACTTATGTATAAGAAACCTTAGTGCTTGAAACTTACTTCCATTAAGATTACAGCATTGTACAAGATGTTTCCATGTCAATATCACCATGATTAGCTGTAAACAACTGAAAAAAACATTAGACTATTAAAAAAAGCATAATTAACAAGTTACAAATATACAATAAAAAAATACATGATCTCTGCACGTACGCGTGGCCAAGCATATATATTACTCATATAATCATATTGGTTAAAAAATTATATATAGGGGTATCCTTTAGACCCAATCATTACAGTATAATACCAAACATGAACAAGCAAAGAATTATGAACTCCAGTGCAGAGCAGCAAATATTGGAACAGCAGCAACAGTTCTAACAGACATTTCAACTACCAACCAGAACAAATATAATTGTTTAAACCTTAGAATTAATATAGTAATACCTTAATAGGTCCCCAAGTCTTCTTTTATAAACAAATGTGCCAATACTTTTTTGCTTCACCAAGGATTGTCATGTCATCTGATAATATTATACAATAATTTGCCCAAAAGTTTTCTAAGAGAGTGTCGAAACTCAACTAAACAACAAGAAAATAATTCCTATATGGCTTCCTGGTCTCTAAATCAGATGCACATTTCATTTGTCTTCTTCTTTGCTTGCCAGTTGCTAGCAATTTAAAGGGAATCTCTCTCTCATGTGACCAATGCCATATTTCTATCTGATAAATGGGTGTTATCACATGGTTCACCAATGCCATAACCCCCGTCACATAATTACTCAGTGTGCGACATAATATTTGATACTCATCTATTTCGGAGTTATTTGATGAAGGTGAGATGCTTCATACAAGAAAAAACTCCATTTAATAAAAAGAGGATTGGGAGAATGTTAGTCAAATTCATATGTACAATTTAACACCAAACCAAACAATTCCAGACATCAAACATCATAGGCAATGACTCATGATTCTGCAACCAGAAGCATAAGCATAAAATTCTTCATCTCATCCCTAGAGTTAAAGCTGTTGAAAAGTATAACAGACAATTGAAGCTGTTAAAAAGTGATGAACTAGTTTGCCCACAAAGCCCACAAAGTTGTGTAAAACAAAATAGGTGCAGCCCAATACGAAAAAAGTTTAGTTTGGTTCACAAAGACATACGAAGTTTAAAGGATCTATGCCGTGCCTAAATCAAAGCTAGAAAATCTTCCAGTTCCTAGTGTCAGTTAAAAGAATTTGCTGAAGAATTTACTGCCTAAACATATACAAGTCATAACTAGATATGTTCCTCATTATTTGGGTTAGAAAGCTCCAAATGATGTCTCTTTACTCATTTATGCCAGGCAACATACATCTAAACTTCGGTAGACTTTAATAGCATGGGGTTCCTGTAAAATTGCATCAGAATCAGTTACACCTTTGGGTAAAAGATGCAGCAACTACATAGAGTAAAGATAGAAGGCCAATGAAAGACTGGCAAATGATAGCACAGATCATTAACTTGAAAGAACATTAACCAGAGTTGCAAAAAAAGAAACCAGGTAGCAATGCAAATAAATTTCCAACCCTCATCCATTTATTCTGAATACATGCTTTCTTAAGTTATTTCTATTTCTTTCTCCCAAGGTATCCCCAATTCCTTAATTTTCTTTTTACTTGTAATCCATTTCCTGACTCAAGAGGAACAATAAAAAGGGATAAGGCTTTAAGGTTTAGGCACCTCATGCCAGAGAATGTGTAAAAACAAACTTCTGTGAGCACTAAGGCTGGTTTAAACCTTTGGGTTCATTGGCACTCTTGAGCAAAATTTCTCAACCTTCATCAAAACGAACACAGCCAGCAAGCATAAAACAAGGGTAAAGACTAGGAAAAAAAACTGGGATAACTAATATATAAGCAGTGTTACTAAAGCCATACACAGTAGGAGAATATAAAACTTCATATGATACCATTTAGTGTGATTGCATTTACCCAAGAATTCAAGTCCAGACGTCCAAGTAAGCCTAAATTTTCTCATTAAAAAAATCAATACGAACTAGAAACTTCTGTAATGTAACAGCTATCATTAGAATGATAGGAAAAGACAAGAATTCACCTTATAAGAAAGACTCTTTCTATAAAAAGGACCAAAAATCAATTGAGTACATTGGAACGTACATAAAATTATGAGAAATTGAATACTGGAGCATACCACTGTTACCAACATTCTACATGAAAGTAAGAATTTGGTTCAGTGGATAAAGGCTTAAAGCTCGGCTAACACCCAGAGATTAAGCTCAAACAGCCTTATTATACAGCTAAATGGCATAATTAACTTACTTCACCAAACATTTTTATGCCCGCTGAAAACCCAGAGGAAACATGAATTGGCAGATAAAATCAGAGCATTCACTCAACTCTAAAAATAACATTTGTAGTTTTATACCTTCACATGAATTATCCTATCTATGCTGCAGAGTCAAGTACCAACAGCTTTCCTTTACTTCAAACAGGCCGGCTAGCTCAACATACATAGGCTATGTTCACTTCTACTTCCTGTGAGTCATACACAAATTTTAGATGCAAGATCTGCATCCCTACTATTGCCCTTGCTTTTAAAATAAATAAATGTCATTGTTATTGGAACTTATTCCAAATACTTTTAAAAAAGCATGCTGAATATAAGACAAGTTACTGTTCACTAGCTCAGCAAACAAGTTAGAAAACTCTTTTGGCCCCTCAGCATCTATCAAGATGAATAAGCCTATTGGGATGCCTAAAACGGCAACTTACCAAAACTTATCTACAAATTAAGCATTTCCTTTTTGGCCACCATAAAATAGCCCATAAAAGTTTCAAAACATACAGATAAAGACTAAAAGATCCTGACTTCATTATGAAAGCAAAAATGTAACTATATGCATGCACTTTATAAATCCTAATCACCAATTCAATACAAAACAGGATGCTGAAAGTCAATCATTCATTATATATAGTAGCAAAACCCTCTTCTGAGGTAATTATTGCTCTAAGCCTGGCCCATATCTTTTTTCATTTGAAGAAAACGTCACTATTGCAATTGTCTTATCAACTGATCTAAGCTGTCTCACCGTTAGAAAATTACAATGAATAGAAAAGTTCTCATTAACAATTGAGCACGACAGGCTATCCATTGAGGGATGTTTATGATAGTCTACCTTAAAATAATAAGCCTCTTGGCTCTTTCAAACAATTCATGGTGCAGTTACAGCTTATAGCAGTTAATAACGTCATACATTTTTGAGATAAAATAAGTTCCTTGATCAACAAATGTTTAAAAAAACATATCCTAAAAACTTCATCTCCAATAATCAGCCATATATGACTTGGATAGAGCGAGTTAGGAGCAATATGAAAGAATTGGGCTTACAGGAACACATAGCACTAGATAGAAAGGCATGGAGGGAGAGTATCTTGGTTGACAGCTAAAAAATTTGGTTCATGTAGCTGACTCCATCATTGAGCTTATGGCTCTGAGCCTCTGATAATGCTGTAGTTGTCAGCCCATGATTAGCTTATAAAGTAAAATAAACATCATACATATCCCTTCAAATATGTAAGCTAGATATATGGGAATATCTGCTTCAAGCCTAATAAACAAAAATCACTAAAAAGTAGGAATCCCGTTAGCACCATCATACTCTCTCTTCAAATATTGTAACCAAAATAGTTTGACAACTCCTGCTTCATGTTTCTCAGATTATGAAAATACAAAAGCAATAAAGATTAGTGATCTCTAGCATGATCTCCATAGTTCCTGAACCATCATCAAAAAAGTCTGAACCCCATGAGAAAATAAGTGTAGAGTATAGACAACAGTAAATCACCATAAGAAGCTATGTCATCTGCCACATTCTAACCTAAATAGCATTTGTTATCAGATATCCTCTAACTGCTTAGAGAGTAACATCTTTAGTTGTCCCAATTCAAAAAAACAAGTCCCTCAATCTAACTGAAATCATTGACATGTCAGATTGTCAGGTACAAGAAGCGTCTCTGTCTAAAATTAGACTTCATCATTGCAATCAATAGGAGACAATGTTTTTGTGGGATTTTGTAAGGCATTGGACATAGAAGAAAGGCACAATAGGAAATTTTATTATGATTCAGTTAGAGGTAGCTTGAGTAACAAGAAGAGGGGAGCTAGTCCATCAATAGATGAGTTTCTTTTTTTTTGGGGGGGGGGTGTGGGGAGTATATTGATGAGATGGTTTTTTTTTTTTCTTCCTATTCTTAGTGCAAGCATGGAAGCCAATAAAGCTGGGATTGTATGCTCTATTTTTTTATTTAATTTCATCAAATACAATCCTTCAAATCTCTTCTTTTTCATCTCTATTTTTTCTGCATATCCAATCTATAACAGCTCGTCAAACAAAAAACTTTTTCAATGCGATCACAAAAAAACTTAGATCCATAATGCATTTACATAAACAAGTCAGCAAAATTAGCCACCCTTGGCAGTCAGAATATCCATAAATCAACAGCACGATAGTCAGGCTATGGTGGACACTCCTGAATCCTGATACATAAACTCTAGATCCCACCATCTACAGTCCTAAAGTGTAGTTTTCAAAATGACATGCACCTAAAGGATCCTTCCTTCCAAAGATAGAGAATCCAGTACACTACTACACCCACAAACTCTCAGTTACAGGTTAGCATGACCTCATGCCCTATACCTAAAGAAACTACAGACTACAGTCACACCATCAATCAATATTCAACCCACTCTGAAAAATAAACCCTCTCTTTGGCATAAAGTCAATGCAAAGAGCTAGGATCAGCCAGGCAGAAATAGGCCTTTAAGCCTAAGCAAACTACATGAGACAAAAATTGCAACTATAATGAGGGAAAGTCCACTGAGTCTTTTAATAATGCCTTCAAAAAGAAGCAGTGGAACTGTTACTTAGCTTCATATTCACTGAAGAAGCATTGGAACTGTTACTTAGCTTTATATTCACTAAAGATTCAGTAATCTCTTTCTTTTCAAGCATAATAACAACCCAATCGATAACCACTCAGCTCCATACCTCCAATTATGTAGCACAAAGAAACTTAGAACCTCAATTCATAGTTATGAAAAGCCACCATTTCATACACCTGATTCCCATACATTTTTAAGCCCTTTTCACAGCCTGAAAATGTGAACTATTATTTAAGATGAGTGTAAATTCAGATTTGAACCGTACACCCCTCCCCCTCATGCAAAATCATAAGTTACATTGGTATTGTAGTGGGACATCTCTGATATCTGCATTCCTCACCATTCAAAATATAGAGAGAAAAAGAGAGAATTAAATATAAACAATGGAATGACATGTGAGTTCGTCAGTGAAAGAATGTTGATTTTGTTAGAACTGTCACAGTAAATGTTAGGTCATAACACTGTGTTTGGATAAAAAAAAGGAGGAAGGAAAGAAGGGGAAGGAGGAGAAGAGGAAGGGAGGGAAAGGGAGGGGAGGGGAGGGAAGAATGTTTAATTTTCCTTCCAAATCTCTCCATTGTCGGAGGGGTCAATTTCCAACAATTTAATCCCTCCATTTCTCTCCCCTCCAATTCCCTTCCTTCCTCATTTGTTATCCAAATGAAGGATATTTCATCTCTCCATTTCCCTTCCCTTCCTTTCCCTCCATTTCCTTCAATCCAAACACACCGTAAATCTCCAGCAAACTCTGAGTTCTAAGCTAAATTCTAACATCTTCTTATCGGCTATAGCTCCACATGTGCACAGTTTATGGATTAAAGATGAACAACTGAGTAGTAAAGCTTAGGTTGTTACACTTAGCAGATAGAATGCTCCTGATGCAACAACCAAGATGAATGTCCTGAAGCATGTTGATCATCAGACATCACAATTTCACAAAACAATTCCTACTATGACAAAATCATAACAAGCTCACAAGTCACAAGTGCCTTAACTATAATGAGAGGACGTACTATCTAACTTACTACGAATGCTCATTCTTCCAGAGTGAAATTGAATAAAAGCTTAATCTAACCCATTCTCCAGAATTGTAATTTAGTTGCTTCTCATTCCAGAGTAAATCAACTATGAAAGTACCATGTATCAAAAGCAACCCAAAAAAAAGGGTACACTAGATGCATATAATCATTAATCATAGACATAGCATTCATGATTTGTAATATCCAGACGATGTGAAGTACATAGCTTTATAATCATGTGACAATAATTGCCTTTCTAATAAAGCTGCATACAAACCAACTCAACATTATAGTCAATGATAAGTGCCTCACAACTGTCTCTAAAAAATTGATTTTAAAACTCTACTAAATTTGCCAGTGGAAATTTCATCACATAAAGAGGAATGCTCCTGCTATTGCACCACATACATTCTGCCAACAAAATACATAACTTCATCACATAAAGCTCTCAAGACTCGAACCTTCATTCCGATTAAACTACCCACCCCTCCCCCAATCCCAAAATGTAATCAACACCCATTCCACTTTACTAGTCCCAAAAAGAACTCGAAACTTCCATTTTCCCAGTTTACACACTTCCAATATATCACTCTATAATTTACCATCAATTTCAATATTTCACTCTACGTCTAACCATCAATCAACGTGCCTATTTCGAGTGCGAATAGAAGTTCAGGATAGAAGGATCTCAGGAAGTATAAGCTTCTTTTCCTTACAAAATTCACACAAATGACAGAAAATCTTTGAACTCTAAACTTGATTAGGGTTACATATCCACAAAGACTAGTAATTTCTAAACAATTTCCCAGACCAAACGAATCATAATTCTTGACAATCTTCGTATCCTCAATACTCTCCCTTACACTAAATCAAAACTAAAATTCGATCATATCAATATTCAGCATATTTACTCAGAATCAAATCAATCAAATTTAAATAGAAAAATCATCAACGGCTCTTATAACTAATCCTCAATTTCATTTTACAATGCAATTACATACTAGTAATTGATTGATAGCAGCAAAATCAAAATTAATTTTAAGCAACTAAATTACAATTACGGATTACAAATTATTACAGATATCGAATCAAATTAGGGCAAATTATGACTTGAACACTAATAAATTGAAATGCAGAAAATTAAAATTAAGATAAACAAGAAGAATCGTACCTAAGCATTTTGATCACCGATTGTTTGTCAACTTTTTCCTTTTTTTTTTTTTTTTTTTTTTATTCTTCGAAATTTTCTGGAATTTATCATCGGTCGACTTAAATCCTTAATAGGCGGTAAAATAAAAAAAAATTTATAACTATATTTATATTTTATGAACAATTTAACAAAAATGTGGCTGTAGTTTAGTGGTTAGAATTCCACGTTGTGGCCGTGGAGACCTGGGCTCGAATCCCAGCAGCCACAATGAAGTTTATTTTTTTTGGAGAAATTTTAGGGAAAGGGGGGTTGCGGTACTCAATTCTTAAAAATTTCACCTTTTAGCTACTCAATTATTTTTATTTTGCTTTTGGGTACTGAGTTAAGAATTCAGGCCAAACAAATTAAATCAGCCAAAGAATTCAGTACCTTGGGTTAAAGAATTTAGTACCCTTGGTTAAGTATGTGGGCCACACCCGATTAAAAAATTCGCGGGTCAACCTATTTTTTTTCTCTTTCTATTTCTTTATTCCCCTTTTTGCTCCTTCATTCTTTCTCATTTATGGAAATTTGTTGCGCACTGTCGAAGAACAACGACACCAAAAGCAACCTTTATGCTCGAATCTAGGGAAAACGACACCAAAAGCCGCCGTTTTTTTTTTTAGGTAAGCTCAATTTCTCATCGTTTATGTTGTGAATTTGATATAAATTTTGGATTTTTTGCCCATTTGATGATGTTTGTTGCGACCTTGGGTTTTCGAATTTTGGGGGTTTTTTGTAACAAATTGATGATGTCGATTGGTTGTGGTTTTTGTGTTAAATTTGTTGCTTTGTTGTTGTTTGTTGTTCGATTAAGGTAGTGTTGTTGTTGAATGTTGATTTCATGTTGTTTACAATGCGCAAGGGTTGGATTATTATACATGTTTTTCGCACTAAAACAGGGGAGGTTTTGGTGATATTGTGTATATATGCTGAATTTGTGTCCTCGCAGAATATTCGAAGTTTTGGTTGATCATTTGACTTAGTGGCCCATGTCATAGTTTTCCATTGTAGCAGAATTTTGATTTCATGTTGTGCATGTGTGAAATTGTGTATGTGTGAAGTTTCACACTAAAACAGGGGAGGTTTTGCTGAAATTGTGTATGTGGGATACATGGTGTTGTGTGTGTGTTTTTGTTGTGCATTTGAAGTGCCTAACTATCATTTGACTTGGGCACTATTGATGGCTTTGGATACACTATCATGTCTGACCAGCAAAAGGGACTTTTAAAGGTTGTTTCACTTATCTTCCCTAGAGGTGAAACTAGATGTTGTGCAAGGCATGTGTACTGCAACTTCAGGACTGTCTTTGGGGGTGGGCTGCAATATAGGAGAGGATTTTGGAAGATTGCAAAGAGCACAACAGATAATGAATTTGAGGCAAACATGGAGCTCTTCTATGAGATCAATACAAAGGCTGCCCAAGACTTGAGGAAAAGGAATTATGTGAAGTGGGTGAGAGCTTTCTTCACCCCGCAATCACAATGTGATAGCATAGACAATAATATGAATGAGGTCTTTAATGCATATATATTGGCATCAAGGCATAACCCTATTATTACTATGCTTGAAGACATAAGAGAGGGATTGATGGAGAGGATGCACAAAAAAAGGGACTTCATACAACGCAAAGACATTGCAATATGCCCTAGAATTCAGAAGAAACTTGAGAAAGCTAAGATTGATGCAAGGGGCTGGATTGCATATTGGGATGGTCATTTCTCATATCACTACAAGAATCAGGTCAAATAACGACGGACCAGTTCCGACGGACCTGAAAATCCGTCGGAAAAATCGATATTTCCGACGGATTTAATTTCCGTCGGAAATTTCCGACGGGAAATAATTCTGTCAGAATAATTGGACATTCCGAAGGAATATTCCGTCGGAGAAGGTAATTTCTGACGGAACAATATTCCGTCGGAAATTTCCGACGAAAAAATCCGTCGGAACATATACTATAAAAAAAAAGGGAAAAAAATATTTTCGGAGTATTTAACCTCTAACCCTAATCCTCTAGCCGCCCCTTTTTTTCCCTCACTTCTCTTTCCTCTTCTTTCTCTCTCCTTAATCCTCCTCCTTTCCTTTCTTCTCTTTCTCTCTCCTCATCCCCTCCGTCCGCCCTTCTCTCGTCCTCTTTCCTCTCTTTCTCTCTCATTGCTCCTCCTTTCATCTCCTCTTTCACCCCCTACCACCACCAACAACAACAATACCATAAAGACCAAGAAACAACAATGAAGACGACTACAACAACACCGAAGACGACTACAAAAACAACGACGACCACAACAAGAACGGCGATCAAAACAAGAACGACGACCACGTACATGCGCATAATTTAGTTAATTTTTTATGAAATTGTAATGTTAATTTATAAATTTATTAGATGATTGTATAATTATATATTTCGTTTAATTTTTGTGGTTTAATTAACGTTTTTTTTTAATTTTCTTTATGAAATTCTTGCTAAATATGTAGATCTATTGGTTTTGATTTATTTGTGTGGTACTGTGGTGTTTTTCGATTTTTTTTGTCTCAATTTTCGTATTTTTAGGTTGATTTTCGATTATTGGGGTTATTTTCAATTTTTTTTTGCTAAGTTTTGTGTTTTTTGGGGTTTATTTTTGGTGTGGTGGTGTTAAAAGGTGGGAAGGGGCTAGGGTGGGTGTCGGTGGCAGTGTTTGAAGGTGGATTAGTGGCTGTAGTGGGTGTTTTTGGTGTCGGTGGTGGTGTTTAATGGTGGGATAGGGACTGCGGTGGGTGGTGCTTAGGTTGGGGGGTTTGGTTTGGGTGGGTTGTTGAAGTTCGGGTTTAGGGTTTGGGTGGGCTGTTGAAGTTCGGGTTGGGTGGTAGATATGGTGGTTGTGGGTGGGGTGGTAGATTTGGGGTTTGTGGGTGGGTGGTAGATCTGGTGGTTGTGGGTGGTGGGGTGGTTCTGGAATTCCGTTACGAGTTAGGGGTTGGGATGTTGGGTTTTTTGGTGGTAAAAGGTGGTGATACGCCGTGCCGTGGTGGCGCGGCGTATTTTTATTAAATTTCAGAAAAGGAATTTCCGACGGAAATTCCGTCGGAAATTTCCGATGGAACGGGATTATTGCAGTACCTGAAAATATTTTTCCGGCGAAAATTTCGTCAGAATAGGGTTTCCGACGGAATTTTCATCGGAAAAGTTCATTTTTCCTACAACTACTTTTCCGACAACCTCTTCCGACGGAATTCCGTCGGAAACCCTATTTCCGACGGATTTCAGGGTGTTTCATTCCGTCGGAATTTAGCCTATTTTTAGTAGTGTATGGAGTCAGGGAAGGGGGCACTCAAACAAGGTATGTGGTGAGCTTTCTAGAGAGGACTTGTAGCTGCAATGCTTGGCATATTAGTGGTGTTCCTTGCCACCATGCTGTCACAACAATTTGGAAAGCCATGGAGCAACTTGAGCATTATGTTTCCCATTGGTTCACTAAAGACACTTACCTAAAGGCTTACCAATGTCCTTTAGAGCCTCTTAATGGACCAGATGAATGGCCTCAAACATCATAAGTTCCCATCATTCCCCCTATGTTGAAGAAAGTGAACCACAGACCTACTACAAAGAGAAGGCCTTCCATGGGAGAAACAGAGGGAATCAAGCTAGGCAAGAAGGGTGTTGTCCACAAATGCAGCAACTGTGAAGAAGCTGGGAACAAGAAGACAACTTGTATAAGGCCACCAAAGCAGCCTACTCAGAGGAGCACACAAACTGGAGCATCAAGGCAGCATGTCCCAACACAAGAGTCTCAAAGTCAAAGTCAGGGAGGAAGTTCCTCAACACCAAGGCAACATGTCCCAAACAAGGGTCTCAAGCTTATGTGCCTATGCATGAAAGAGGTATTGGTGTATACACCTACCCAAATGGATTTCAGAGAGAGTCATGGGTATGTAAAGCTCAATTATAGTTAAATTTCTGTTTATTTATTCATTCAATTTCAATTTCTCATTACATTTTCAATGCTGCAGCAAACTGGAAACAAAAAGAAGCCTAATTCTGAAGCAACTACTACAACTGAAACCATTACAAGACTATGAAGGTACACCCCACACACTCAAGCTAGTAACAACAAAAATTAGAAAAAATATAACAAGGCTTTGATATGCACTTGTAATTCTCACAAATTTGTCCTTGATATCCTTTGCATAGCCCTTACTGTTTCTGTTTTCTCACATGTATAGGAGGCTGATTTTGTGGTTGGACAGAAGAAGCAGCAGTAGGGGCAGACTTGAGCAGGGGAAGCAGCAGCAACTTCTGTTTTTGTGACCTTTTTTTTTCCTACAAAATTTGGGAAAACCTTGTTGATATGCACCTTGCTTTTTTTTTTTTTTTTTTTTTGACAAATGGTTTTGGATGAATTTGTTAAGCAACAATGGCTGATTTTGTGGCAGAGTTGAAGTACTAGCAGCAGGGGGAAGCAGCAGCCCTTCTGTTTCTAGTTTTTTTTTTTTTTTTTTTTTTCTACAAAATCTGGCAAAACCTTGCAGAATTTATGCCTAAATAACATGCTTAATGAACCTGTTTTTTTGCTGGTTAAGCTGCTATTTTTGATTAATTTTGATGAATTTTCATGCTGTTTTTGATGAATGAATTTTGATGAATTATTATTGATGAATACTGATTCATGGTCTTGTTGTTTTTGATGAATTTTCCGCCAGGTTCATGCCTCTTTAAATAGAGAAACCAACGGCTAGTTTCTTAGCCAAATTTAATACAAAATTTTTTTTATATAAATATTAATTTTTTAATCGGGTGGGGCCCACATACTTAACCAAGGATACTAAATTCTTTAACCCAAGGTACTAAATTCTTTGGTTGATTTAATTTTTTTGGCCTGAATTCTTAACTCAATACCAAAAAGCAAAGTAAAAATAATTGAGTACCTAAAAGGTGAAATTTTTAAGAATTGAGTACCTAATTGTGTGCTTAACTCCATTCATGTAGTCCATTGTACACGACCATTTAGTCAGTATTATTATATACTCTTCAATATACACGGCCATGTGGTTCATGGTACATGGTCGTGTAGTTCTGCTACTACAAGACATGTCACACGGTTGTGTGGGTCAAGGTACATGGTTGTGTGATTTTGGTCTGTGTGGTTATTAATTGGGCTTTGGCCTAAATCAGTTTCTGTTTTGGAGAGCTCTATATATACCCCTTAAGGTTACTCCTAGCCGAATTAGTTAATTTGAGCGATTATTCAGAAATCTGAGAGTCTTTTGTGTATTTCTCATATGTGAGTTCTGAGAAAGATAACATTAGAAATCTGAGGACACTCAATCTGTTTTATGTAATTGGTCTCAAATATGTTCTGAATCTGTATTCTGTTTTCCCCGAGATCAGTAAAACTGATACTCCCACAGTCCCACCTACCTTGGACGTAGCCAACGCATCGTTGGTGAACCACGTAAATTTGTGTCTATTTTTCTTGTTAATTAAATTCGATATTTGTTCTTTCTCACATTCGTTATAACAATAACATTTGCTTGAACTTGAAACAATTGTAGAGTCGATCATAGGAGGAATAAATTTTTTTTTGCCAAAATTGATCGTTGTGATTAAATATAGGCTTTCTAAAGGTACTAAGGGGCTGTTTGGTTGGGTTAATAATCAAAGGGAATGAGAATGAACTAATATCATTCTCTTTACCCATTTAAAATTTTAAGTTTATCCAAAATTAGTCTACTTTGATTCTCCACCCCCAATACTTTTCCATTCCCTTCCTTTAGCTACCATACCCACCACCATCCTACTTGTCGAAACTCGCTCATCCACCTCACCGGACTCGCCGCACCTTCCCAGCCGCACGTCCCCAACTTCTCGTCAGAACCGTCGCACCTTCCTCACCTCTTGTCGGAACCCGTCGCACCTCTCCCCTCGAAAACATCTCCTCTCCCCAAAAACCTTAAACCACCCACGCAAAACCCTAGAAACCACTCTCCCTCCACTTAAAATCGTCGCCCCGACCCTCCCACCACCCTCAAAACCCTAGCGGCGGCTAGTGGGAGGGTCGACCGACGATTTTAAGTGGAGGGAGAGTGGTTTCTTGGGTTTTGCGTGGATGGTGGAAGTTTTTTTAGGAGGGGAGGTGTGGAGGAGGTGCGCCGAGGGCAGAAGAGTTCTATCGAGGTGGTGGATGGGCGGTGGGGGTGACTGCGTGGTGGTTGGAAAAGTGAAGAAATAAGGGGTTGTGTGGTGGTGGTGGTGGTGATTCCCTTTGTTTTTTTTATAACAAACAACATACTACATGTAAGGGTTTCATTCCATTTTCTATTCCCTTTGTTCATTCCATTTCGATTCCCCTGTGCGAACCAAACGACCCCTAAAGTGTCTCTAAATTTCCATAGTCGGCAACTTCATATTTAAATCAATTATTTGTAATCTCTAAGCCCCAACTGTCCCATCTCCACGGCTCCACCCTTGGTATTCTTAAGCTCAATTTTGATACTACTTCATACAATTTCATAGGGCCAACATCAAAAAGTATATGAAAGATTCAATTGTTTATGGATGACGTTTAACAAGTACTTAATCACCTTATGTTAGTCCAATCTTTTTCAAAAATCAAATCAATCTATAGGTTGTGTTAGAGTTAGACCTCTCAATCACTTCACTTAATAAGAATTATTCTATCATTTATTTTTTTAATTCCGGCAAATTATGTTGTATTCTTAAACTAGTTCTTTGCCCGAACAACGCTCGAATATTCACAAAAAAAAAATAATTATTTGTTTATAGATTTTGTATACATTTAATATTATTTATTTAAAGTTTATATTGTTCTATTGCGTATTATTTAGGCTGTAAAATCCTTTTTTTTATTATTATTAATAATCTTATTGTTTTAAAAAAAAAATTATTTTTGACAGGAAATTTTTTAATGTAAACGTGACATACTTCTGGATAATCCTGGTGATTATTTTAGTACATACTTCGTAGTATTTATATTTTTATTTAGGAAAATTTGTAAATTACCACCCACAAAGGGGTCCTGTTTTTAAATTACCACCCATTAAAACTTTTATTTTAAATAACCACCCATTAAATTAAAAAAGTTTTCAGATTACCACCTTTTTTGTAATTCCGGTGGTAAACCCGTTTGAGGGCCCCACATAACGTCTAAAAACGGCGAAATTTGACTCTTTTAAATGTTTCCCTCCTCGATTTTTTTTTCTTTATAAATTATCCAACATCAATTCACAACTTTTTCCTCAAATATCATCCAAATTTCCTCAAATTGCAGCTGGTACATGTCTGAAATTTTAAAATTAGGGTTCCTGGGGCAATAAAATTGGGGGTTTTCTTCAATTTTGGAATTAGGGTTCCTGGGGCTTTAAAATTGGGTTTTTTTTTTTTTGTTTTTTTGCAATTAGGCTACATGTCTGAAATTGTAAAGGGTCCCAATTGCTTACCTCAGGCGTCGCCATTGACATCACCATTTGACAAGAGCTTCACCTACGCGCTTTTGGTCCCTTGAAAACACCCCAAGATGGCGACTTCAACAGCAAATGCAAGTACAAATAGGGTCCTAATTTGCAGGAAAAAAAAGTTAGGGTTCTGATTCAACCCTTAAAGGGTAATTGCAAAGTTTACAGAGAATTAAAGGAAGAAAGAGGGGAAAGATTGATGCTTTTGGAGAATTAATTGAAGAAATTGATGAGAGAAGATTTTTTTTTTTTTAGTTTAATGTTTCAATCAGAAGGTTAGGTCGAGGGAAATGGAAAAAAAAAGGAAGGAAGTTAATAAGGTGGGGCCCTCAACCGGATTTTCCACCGAAAAAGGTGGTAATCTGAAATGTTTTTTAATTTAATGGGTGATTATTTAAAATAAATTTTTTAATGGGTGGTAATTTCAAAATAGAACCCCTTTATGGGTGGTAATTTACAAATTTTCTTTTTATTTATTTATTTATTTATTTAGAATAAAACATACTTCGTAGTAAAAGTATTGATAAGTATTGATGATTGATGAAACATGAAAGCTTTCTTCCCTACCTTATAAAAAGTACAAAAGAACTCTTATGAATAGTGTGATGACTTTTTTACCCCTAAAAATGTTTATTTACCCATATACTCTTTTATGTCATATTAACTCTTATGCTTCCGTATTTATTTCTCTTAGCTTCTTTAGTCTTCCTTCCCTTCCAACTTCCAACCTTTTCCTCTCTTTTAAACCCCATTTTCTCTCTCCTTCTTCCTTTACTTCCCTACTGTCTTTCTCTCCTCCATTAAAGCGAAGGAGCCTTCCATTAAAGCACCTATCGAGCTAAGCCACATGAAGAAGAGGAAGAGGAAAAGGAGGAGGAGGAGGAGGAGAAAATTGTTGAATTCAATGGCAAAACTATTTAACGTGAAAATAATCCTCTTCAAAGGGTGGGGGAATAGTCTAGATATAACCCACTTTGTTACTATTTTCCTTAAAACAAACACACACACACACACAAACCCACTGAATTTAATTACCTAATCATCTAATTAGACATTTTTCTTTTGAATGTTTTTTCGTTAAATTTTTAGTTGTAACATTTTAACTTTCACGCTTGTCAATACATAATTTCAATCTCTTGTATATCTAATTATAGACATATAAATAATCTAAAGATTAAATATTTAAAACATATATATAAATCAAAATGAATCTAATAAGATCCCACATAACTATTTTGCCCAACAAAAAAGTCAATAAAATAAAGATCAATTATTAAAAAAATGAAAAATGTACCGAGCACTGCATGTATTTTTCAAGTGTTGTAACTAAAAGTGACGGATGATATATAATTGTATTTTATAACTCACAACAAAAGCCATATTACACCATAAAAAACTTACAACTAAAAAGTGAATAATGTTTATATATTTTTAAGTGTTACATTTTTATACCTATGTAAGGGTATGATTATCAACAATCTATTTCTTAGTATATGCGTTCAAAAGCGTACCCAATAAATTTTGGGTGTCATGACAAGCTATTATAACTTGACTATAAACATCGATTATGTCGTGCGCAACGCGCGCGTAGACTCCCCTAGTATCATGAAAACATACAAGCTTCTTAACATTTGTATTTCTTTCTTTCAAAAAAAAAAAAAAAAAAAAAAAGGGTTCATGTGTAGGGCTCGGCTAGTGATATAGAGTGGCACGACGTGGTGCATCCCCAAACCAACCATCCAACATTACAACCTCCTAACAAATGCACATTAAACCTAACCCCAAACCAAATGTAACCATAATCTATCTCCTTTTCAAAGGCGCCAAATTTATTAACTTCCCCAAATGCGCCTTCCCCTTTCTCTCTCCTCAAACCACCTCTTCTTCCTCTCTCCCAATTTCAAACCCCCATTTTCAATAACTTCCTCAATTCTCCCAAAAATGGCGGATTCGGGTAATTCTTCTTTAATCTGGTTCAGAAAAGGGCTCCGAATTCACGACAACCCGGCTTTAGAGCATGCTGCTAATGGGTCGGATTTTGTGTACCCGGTTTTTGTGATTGACCCGCATTATATGGAGCCTGACCCGGATGTTTTTTCACCCGGTTCGTCTAGGGCTGGGGTGAACCGGATTAAGTTTTTGCTTGAGAGTTTGTTGGACTTGGATTGTAGTCTTAACAAGATTGGGTCTAGGTTGTTGGTTTTTAAGGGTGAACCTGGTGATATCTTGATTCATTGCTTAAAACAGGTATATTATCATTTAGTGATTGTGAATTGTTATGTATTTGTGTAGTTGCACTTGCTATTTGTTCCACATAGGGATAAGGTTGCGTACATCTGATCAAGGGTACAAAGTTTTTTTTAGTACTCCGTAAAAAAAGTAAGGAAAAAAAGAACATTTGGATTTGGGAACTCCTAGTACGTTAGATATAATGTTGGTTTGTACTTTTAGTAGTGTAGTATTGTCAAAGTATACTTGTATATACTGAAACTTTTTTAAAGGGGTTTGTTTGGAGGGAAAAGATGAACATTAATTTTTAATTATTAGTACTTTCTTTGGTTCAAGTTTTTGACTTTTGCACTAAATATTGAATATTGAACATTCTTTACAAGGAAATTGTGAATGTATGTATGGTCGTATGGATGATCATGTTTCGAAAATAAGTAGATATGTTAATTTGTTGAGCCATGAGCAAAACCATAGGCCAGTGAAAGTGTTGTGCTGTTGTCCCGCATTAAGTGTAAAAGAAATGTTGAGCCCATGAGAAAACCTACATGTGAGTGGTGTGTTGTCCCACGTTGGTTTAGTTTACAAGTAAGAGTTTGTATTAGGAAGTGTATCCCACATTGAAGAAATAAGAAAGTTGTGTCCACATTATAAGGCTAAGTGGCTACTCCCCTCATTGCCATATGGTTTTGAGGTGGAACCTCCTTGGTCATATAAAGTGGACCGTTGTGTCGGGTGTGGCTCAGACCCATTTATCAAGAAATGAGAAAGTTACACTCGTGGCCGAAGCTATTTCATATTGAAGCTTATTTGAGTTTGTTTTGAATGAATCATGGAACAAGTTGTACATTGGTCTTATATAGAGAAGCACATTTGAAGTTTTGCATTGATCTCACACTATTATGATCATGTGTGTTTTTTTTCTTCTTTGTGGATTTTATGCAGTGGAACATAAAGAAGCTTTGCTTTGAGTATGATACTGATCCATATTATCAAGATTTGAGTGCTAGAGTCGAGGTAATGTTGTGTTGAGCTTGTTTCTTTCTCCATTCCACAGTCTCTATATTGCTAGGATCTCGCTACATCTCCCCTGCTGTCGTCTGCATTTGATAATAGACCTGTTTCTGTTTTTATGTTTTGCATTTTGTTGTGTTCAGCTTATTGTTCTTCTGACTACTAGAAATTGATATTCACAGAAATATGCATCTCAAGAAGGAATTAAAGTTTTCTCTCCTGTGAGTCATACGCTGTTTGATCCTAGAGCGGTTATAGCTAAGGTAATCTTGACCTTCTTTTGACTCCTGAATTGCTTAATATTGGAACATGTGCTGTAACTGTTGTTGCAAGATGTATACTCTTTGATATTGTAAATTTGTAATTCTATTTTACAAAAGTTGAACAAAGATACATGGAATAATGCATGTGCAAAATTTAAGCTCCCTCTATTTTGTTGAACAATTATTTTGGCTAATACCTTGAATTGGCTTTTGGTTTACATTATGTTTTAACAGAATGGGGGCAAGCCACCTCTTACATACCAGTCATTTCTGAAGGTTGCTGGTCAACCCTCTTGGGCCTCTTCTCCAGTTTCAACTGGACCATCATCCATTCCTCCTCCTGGGGATATAGGTGATTTGCAAATTTCAAATGTTCCGACAATGGAAGAACTTGGCTATCTAAACATTGGACAGGTATGAAATGTGATACTGCCAACTGTTAAGGAGCTTTTGCTTTTAGTATTTTGTTGAACATATTTGCTAAATAAGTAAAGTAGTTTTGCAGCATGAATTTTCTCCATTTAAAGGTGGTGAATCTGAAGCACTAAAGAGGTTGAAGCAATCACTTGATGATAAGGTATGAATGTATGATGCTACCATTTGTAGTAAATTTGTAGAGTGGAATTCAGTTGCTTTCTTTTGATGTGTGCCTTCCTTGGATGGATAGTTTCGATTAATCCTTGTTTCAGCATTTCTTATGGGACTGTTGTATGAGAATGTACTAAGCCTAATAAAAAAAAAAATAAAAAAAAGAAAAGAAAAAAGAATTGGGGTTGCAGAATTTGCATTTTGCATAGATTGTTCTGCCTCGTAGTATTCACTATTGAATGGACAAAAACAGAAAAATTTCACTTCCTCAATTCTAGGGTTTGAGAACATCTGAACATGCTAGTTTTCTAGATTATGCTTTAAACAATACTTGTCACATCTTATCTTGTTAATTTTTACTAGAAAATTAGAGTGTCTGCTAGTTTAGTAATATAAATCTGCACTTTTAAGTTTCGTTATATGTGAACTTTAACGAGTCAATATGTATAGCAGCTGTACAAACGATGATAATGACCGATGGGGTGACACAGTGGTAGATCATATTGGTACATTTTTTTTATATAATACCATGAGAGTTTGTTCTGATGTAAAAATGTGAGGTTTAGTCAATTGACATGAAATAATAGTTTGTGTATAAGAAATTAATCTGGAAGTAGAATTTTTTGCTCAACTGCTGTTATGTGCTACCTCTCCATAGATCTGGAAAGTAGAAACATCTAGTTTCTCTGTTTCTTATTATAATCATCTGAAATCTCAACCCATTGCCCTGTGATTTTTCCTGACATCATTGTGCTTTTGTCATGAAGATTTCTTCGAATGGAAATAGTATATCTCCTGTGAGCAACTCTAAATTTGCAGCTTTGACGTACTTGATTTCAAATAGAGTCACTTGACTGCTGTTTTAGTGTTTTTTTAGATTTGTTTGTTTTTTCCCCGTCATGATTGACGTGGAATGCTTGTACCGTGTTTAGGTGTCTTTCCCACATTTGTGAATAGTTGTTTGGATTATATGTAATTATAATGCTTTCCAAATTTACTTTGTCTATTGCTGCAGGCATGGGTGGCTAAGTTTGAGAAGCCAAAAGGGAATCCCTCTTCTTTTCTTAAGCCTGCAACTACTGTTCTGTCACCATATTTGAAAGTAAGTGGTGAACTAGGAGTTGCATCAACCTTTTATCATGTGTGCTTGTTGGTTGTGGTGGTCAAGTCTGAAAGACTGGCTAAGACTTTAAACTCTAAAAGCACTTCTAAAATTTCTCTAAATTTATCTTGTGCAGTTTGGCTGTATATCTTCCAGGTACTTTTATCAATGTATTCAAGAAGTATATAAGAGTGTCAAGCAACATACATCCCCACCTGTTTCTCTTCTTGGACAGGTCAGTTTCTGAATTTGTGGCTAAATTGCTTTCAATTTTATTACTCTTGTAAAACGTAGTTCAAAATCTGCAGTTGTTGTGGCGGGACTTTTTTTATACAGCATCTTTTGGCACTCCCAATATTGATCGGATGAAGGGAAACCAAATTTGTAAGCAGGTATGTTACATGGTGCATCTTATATTAATTGCTTTCTTTAACTGCTTTCCTTTCTATATTCAGTGCCACATTTAGACTGAGTAATACAAAGTAATAGCTTTTCTTCGTATGAGTAGTTATGTCATATTGCCATACTTTTTCATGAAGTACTTCAACATTTCAGTAACATTATTTTTTTTGGAAACACAAACTTGAATATAAAGCATGGTCATACTTTTTCCTCAGTATGTATCAGTTTCTTGCTCTATGACGTTATGTTACTTTCCCTTTCCGTGTGATCATTTCTATTTTGGGGCCAGGGGGTTGCTTTAGCGTTTTTCCACAGACATATTTTGTCTACCATCCCCTTCTATCCATCACAACCTTCTTGGCATCTCTTGTTTATTTTGTCTAGTAATAGTCATTGGCTGCATAGGTTATGTTTGAAGATTAGTAGCATACTCGGACTTGTTTAGCTATCAGAAATGAAGAATTTATCTGTATTTATCATTCTTTCTTATACCTGCCATGAGAATCTTAAAATTAATTGTACTTGGTCTTGTTGCTATGAAATTTTGTTGCCAACATGAGTTCCAATGGTAAGTGGTGTCAGTGATGTTTTCGTCTTTACTTTTATTTCTCCGATTGAACCTCCTCTTAGAGACTTAGATTTATCTGTTATACTCACATGCAATTGCATCTTTGCTTAGTTATGAAAGAACTTGTTCTGCTTCATGACATAGATCCCTTGGAATGAAGATAGTGAGCTGCTTGCTGCTTGGAGAGATGGAAGGACTGGGTATCCTTGGATTGATGCCATCATGACACAGGCACTTATCTTACTTTTATCTTCTTTTGGGACTTAATACAGGCTACTTATTTGATGTTGATATATGTAGTCTTTAAAGAGTTTATGTGCCTTGCTTCCATAATATTTTTTTTTTGTCAATGTTCTGCAGCTTCATAAATGGGGTTGGATGCACCATCTTGCACGACATTGTGTTGCATGCTTCCTTACCCGTGGTGATTTGGTGGGACTTGAAAGCTTTTAACTTTTTTTTTTTGTTCTTTTTCGTTCCTGTATACTACGTATTAAACATTCTGTTAGGACTTTCTAATTAATTCTTTCTACTAACAGTTTATTCACTGGGAGAAAGGTCGTGATGTATTTGAGAGGTTATTGATTGACTCAGATTGGTCAATAAACAATGGAAATTGGCTCTGGCTTTCTTGTTCCTCATTTTTTTATGAGGTATGCTCAATATTTTCATGTTGAATATTGTATTTACTGATTTTATTTAGTGTCAAGACTGCCAACATTGAATGTCAAAAGATGTAGCGATCTTCAATTGGGCATATATAGAATATAGACGAGTGGCTATGGATACAAATTTGTAGGATGGCTTTTTTGCTCCTGCCAACTGTATTGCTTGTTTTTTTGCTCCTATGCTGCAGACACCATCACAAATTCTTTTTTACTTATAATTTAAGGATATCTTGTTAGCTTGTTGCTGTATGTGACATTAAGATCTAGGTGCTATCAATTATTATAGTTATGCTGCTTTTACAAAGTATGTGACTTTGAGACTAATCATCATGTCTTGTTTTCTCTGAACAGTATCACAGAATTTACTCACCAATCTCATTCGGGAAGAAACATGACCCAAATGGCGATTTTATCAGGCATTTTCTCCCTGTATTGAAAGGTATGTTGAGTTTATTAATATCGCCTGATATTTTCTATTTTTTTGAAGCTAATGAATGGTGAGTCATTTCAATGATCAGATATGCCAAAACAATACATTTATGAACCATGGACAGCTCCCAAGAGCGTCCAAGTGAAGGCTAAATGCATAATTGGGAAAGATTATCCAAGTCCTGGTAAGTGAACTGACATTCTCCTAAAGACATTTATTAAGCTGAAATACAAATTCATTTGCTCTTTTTTCTTAGTTGTTTGAGTTGGCTCAACCGTTTAATTAAATCAGTTTACCCAGAAGTCAAGTTAGCATTTCACTTGAGCTAGCATTTTTATGTTTGCAATTTTTCGCTGTTCATATCCAGAAATTGCCAGGGATCTTCAAAAGTTTTTTTCTGGCTTATGGCATAGGAGCACATGATCTACTCACTGTATTTGCATAAGTAATAGTGGATATTATAATGAATGTTTTGTTGCCTTAAATTTTGACATGAAAGTAAAGTAAAGAAGTTTATTTCAACAGTAAAAATCTGATGAATTATTTTTCTCCAATACAAAAAAATATTGCATGGTTTTCTTTTGAAAGGGCAATCGTTTGGATGTTTCCATCATTTTCTAGTTCAGCTGTTCTGTCTTTTGGAATATAATATACAGATTGAACCTTAAGTTATGTCAAGTATGTCAGATTGACATTAATTTCGATTATAAAGCAGTCTTGTATTATGGAAAATTGGAAATAGCTAATGTTTAGCAAATGAGATTGGCATTATGATGAAAATAATGTGGGCAATGATAAATGTGTATGATGGCTATTGAGGAGATTATGATAGAGTGGCGTAAGATTTCCATTTGTTTATTCCTCGTATTTGGAATACATGTTTATATATGTACAGTTTTAGTGAGATATTTTACAGTAAAAGTAAAGTCCCCTCCACGGCTCCACCCTCCCCTAATGATGAAGCGTACATGGCAGATTTAGGATGTGCTCAGTTTCTTCCCTTATTTTTAGTTCATGTTCTTGGGAGCATGAAAAATTGTTTTCATGAGCTTGTTTTTCTTATGCCTTTTGTTTTCCTGTTACCGTTCTAGCTTTCATGGACTGTTCACATGTATAAATGACTCCTTTTTTTATGTGTTTTTCTTCCTTGAATATAGTTTTCTTGTGTCTTATAATTTCTGTGTTTCCCTACCAGTGGTTTCCCATGATTCTGCAAGCAAAGAATGCAAACGGAAGTTGGCTGAAGCATATGCATTGAATCGTCAGTTAAATGGTTCTGTCAGTGAAGATGATCTATGCAAGTTGAGACGGAAATTAGAGGAAGATCAGCAGATACAGAAACCTGCTGCTAAAAAGCAAAAGCAGAAGTTAATTACTGATTAACACTAGTATCTTGATCCGTAGCTAGGCTGATGATCTTGATTAGTATAGTAGTGCTGCAGTGCACTAGTTCATATTTATTCTAACATCAAGTTGAAGTTTGTAGGAAGTTGTGATCTGTACTTCCTGTAGTATTTGTTCTGATATAAATGTAAGTATTCAACCAGTTCCCAATTCCTGTGTAGGACTTTTACAAGGTCAAAGACAATGTAACATTTATTAGGAAGTACTACATAGGGTTAATTTATAACTCGATTGTCTGACTTTTAGAAAGTTAGAGCCATAAGACATTAACATTTACTATGGAATGCTGCATAATTTACCACTGGAGGGCTAACAACATCCCCCCCCCCCTCTTACCACTGGAGGGCTAACAACATCTCCACCCCCCCCCCCTAGCCCTCCCCCCTGTTTTGGCCTTTCCTAGTGATACTCTTTGGTTGGCACCAACTTTTGTTTGCTTAGGTACCCTAATGAATCCTGTAACCTAAATAACTCTTGTTGGCAAATGGAGAAAGTATGTTTACCAAAAATTCTTTCTTTTAGAGGAGTTTCATTCTTGGTCATTTGTAGAAAGATTCCCCATCACTCACATGGTGCAATATACATCTATAACCACTTTCATCAAATTGGTCGTGTATAACTTACATAATCCACATAGATAGTTCATTTAATCATTGTGTCTTTTGTTTACAATTCGAAACGTTGACTATGATATTTTCAAAATATCAACTAATCATTGTATGTGCTACATGAATTAAAATTATGAGCTTACTGACGAAGATGTATATCTAAAAGTGACGTTTAGCATTCCCTCTGTTCCTTAATACTTGCAACACTTGTCTTTTTTAGTTGTTTCTAAATTCTTAAAATTGCTTCCTACCTTAGTATGAGATCACTAACCCTACTTTATTGTTTCTCTAACCCTAATTGCACTATTTTTTTATTTTTTTTTTCATTTCTCTTTCTTACAAACTATTTCGTATCAAAACTACCCCCATAAACCCCATTTGCACATCGAATATCCCTTTTGCTATACTATATTACTATCCACGAGTTCTCCTTAAATTATTCGTAAGTATAAATGTTGTACAAGTATAAATTAGCGGAGGGAGTACATTTTATAAAAAATATTATATTTTTTAAAGTTAAACCAATAATAACTCATAGTCGGCATAGGTAGAAGACTCTGTAATTCATAATAGAAACACCTTGACAATAATAACTCATTCACTTGAATTTCATTACTCCGAAGTATTACTCCATACGTACATGGTGCATTGTATTTATTACCACCTACCAAACCGAGCATACAAATTCCGAAAGAATTGGAAAGTCTACTCAAACCACTGCAACCCAAATCTAGCCCCACCCAGCCCAACCCCAAGGAAACAGCCGCCCTCCCTTCCTCCACACCCATTTTCTCTTCTCATTTCTACCCAAACTAAGAGAGAGAAATTTCCCCCAATTCAATTTCCCCCAATTCAATTTCCAGATCAACTCATCGATTCATCATCTTCAACCATTAGGGCGTGACCTAAGATCCAGAACACAGTTCAATCAATCAATCATGTGGCGAAGACTTGTTTTCTCTCACCTCAAATCCCTTTCTTCTTCTTCTTCTTCATCTTCTTCCGCCATTGTTAAACCTTCATTTTCTTCTCTTTCTCATCGTCTTCCTGCTGCTACCTCCGCTGTTCGATCCTCCTCATTTCTTCTCTCTCGTCGCCATTTCTCCGCTGAAGCCGGTAATTGATTTCCCCTTTTTCTAGGGTTTGATTCAGATCTATTGTTGTTGATTTTTTTAATATTTTAAATTGATTGGATTGTTTTTGTTGTAGAAGTTTCAAAGACTAAGGTTGAAGATGTAATGCCCATTGCTACTGGTCATGAGCGTGAAGAGCTTGAAGCTGAGCTCCAGGTTTTTACTTTTTTATCATTATTGAATGAATGATTGTTGCATTAATTTTGGGAGATTATGAAAATTTTCAATTTTTATTGAATTATTTGTGATGATTTTTTTTAGGGGAAGGATATTCTGGAGATTAACCACCCTTCAGGTCCTTTCGGCACCAAGGTTAGTTTTTTTTTTTTTTGGATTTTGCTTTTGCTTACATTTGATGATTTGATACTTATTTATTGTGATGGATATTGGTGATATTTTATTTGTTAATTGTGATGGGTATTGCTGATAAATTAATGTGATTGTCAAATGTGGAATTGTTTAAAGGTTGTATACATTGTCGTGTTTAAGAATTGCTTGAAATTTGCTGTAATTTGACACTATCTAGGAATATAAGAAGGGAGAGAGTGAGTGAAATGGGCAATCATTCATTTTGTTTGGGTTGTTTCAATTAGAGAAAGGGGTATAGCACCCTATGTTACTCGGGGACTCTTCATTTCACCTCGACTATTTGAAATGGGTATTTGACATGTAGATATGACTCATGGACCCTTGTCTTGTGAGTTATGACGCGTTATTGGGAAGAACATGAAAATTTTACTTTCCTGAGCTGTTAGACACTTACTAATACCTGTATTCCATACAAAGTAGCCTAGGCGCTTGGGTGTACCCAATCCAATTACTTTAATCAACCCTGGTAAGTTGGTTTTTAAAATTGCTGCTGTAATACTGATTGTATATTGGCCATTGCAAGGGATGCCTGCATTGAGGATTGTTGATGGTCCTTTTTGTAATGTGGTTGCCTTTCTAATTTATGCGTGTGATGAAATTTTTTCGTGTATGGTATCTCTTACATAGTTACAAGTAGTCGTCATGATGCTATGTATCCCAGTGCGATGAAAATATGTAATGTTTAGAGTATAGACTGCAAAGGACTTGATTGGTATGCTGTCTTCTCATGCCTTCATATTTCTTTCTTGTTTTAATCTCCTGAAATCAGGTGCAATGATTTTATCATGTAGTTGTGTAATATAATGAAATCAGAGCGTATTACTTTTGAACATTATGATTAGGGTTTTCTTGTATTTTCTAGTCTTGAGACTCTTCATCTTTCATTTTAATGTGATGCCAAATTTCGGTGCTTTAGTTTATTCTCTTAGGCCGGCATTAATTTTTATGATTTTTATCAAAACTTTAATTTCCTTAAAGCCTTGATATTCACCCTTCAAGCTTGTCTGCTTCAATTTTTTTATAAACCCAAAAGCTTTGCGTTTTTTTTTTCTTTTCTTTTTTTCCTGTTAATATCTTACCCCAAAGTCCCTAATCTAATATCAGTGCTTCTAAACTGTCTTTAGTCAGGGAACCCCAAAATGGCAGCTCAGTTTCAAAGTCTACATTGATTAACTTTAGAATTTGTTCTCTATTTGCGTTGATTATACTGTAATGAGTAGAACATCCCAGGAGGTTAAATATTTTTTGGTCTTTTTAGTCCTGTTTACTATAATGTGCTCTTTGTCTTCAGTATTCTTCCTATATTTCAATATTGCTTTATTTATTTTCAATATCTTTTTATCCTCCTGTTGGACTTTATAATGCAAATGAAGTAACCTGTAGTAGGAAAAAAAAAAAAAAATCTATGCTCAATTTCAATAAGATGGTTATTATATGATCTATTCATTTTCAAATTAATGGTATCTTGATATTAAAATTCCAAAGAGCATGATGTTGATTTAGATGGCTTCTTTCGTAAACTCTTTTTAAAATGTCAAGCTTGCTATCATTTACGAAGTATTGTACTTCTTTAAAATTTTAAACTGACTAAAAATTTATAGTTAATATGTTGGTCTGTCAACTATGTTGTTAAAATTTATATAGCTTGAAATTTTCTTCACGTCCCATCATTATACGGAGATGATCTACATGTTGATTTTTAAATTTTGTGCTAACTTTGAATTGCTATATATGAATGCAGGAAAACCCAGCTATTGTTAAGTCTGTCTTTGACAAAAGAATTGTTGGATGTCCTGGTGGCGAAGGAGGTCAGTATTAAGTCTTTTTATGTCCTCTTCTAGATACAATGTCATCTCCATTTTATTAATTCCTGAATATTATTTTGCTGTTTCTGACATGTAGTAAAACCCTTTAAATCTGTTTAACTCTTCTTTTCCCAGAGGATGAACATGATGTTGTCTGGTTTTGGCTCGAGAAAGACAAGCCATATGAGTGTCCAGTCTGCACACAATACTTCCAGGTTAGTGCCATACTCATGTAGATCCTTGTCATAACAACTTTGTCAACTATGATGTGGAGAATCTATACTGGAAATTCGGTGCTTTGTCTGTGAATCATACGCATCTCAAACTGGACTTGACATGTACTTTCTCTACTTTTGTACAGAAAAAATTAGATGATGCATAATCTAAAATATTTGTTAAAATGATTATTATTTTTGACAAGTGAGTAATATTAGCCACATTTTTAGATTGAATCAGCTACTTTGAATTTTCTGCATATTTTCTTGATTTGGTCTGGAAGCTGATAGTAGCTATCTGGTTCTTTGAAGAACAGTTCCAGTGTGCCACCAAATTGCATTTTCAAATTCACAATTAATTGCATACTGTAACCTATTTTTAAGTGCCAAATTCATTTACATGTTTTTTAAGGGTAGAATTATATAAATAAAGCTAGATAATGTCCTTCCAACAACTAGTCTTTGATGAGATTGGACATATTCTCATACTTTACATTCTTGCTTTTAGCAAATTAGGGTTATGGGTGATGAGAACATTGTTTTTTTTTTTTTTTTCCTTCTGATTTAAGGATTATTCACGCAGTTTGGCTATTTATTCTCATCCTTTACATTCTTCAATGTTTTTGTCTATAATGTTGGTTTTATTAGAAATGCTTATTAATTGGTTAATCTATTGCAGTTGGAAGTTGTTGGCAATGGCGGTGACCCTGAAGGGCATGATGAGGATGAAGGCGAACACCACCACCACCATTGATTGTAGTTTACGATTTTAGTGACGTAATAAGATCTGGTGAGACAATGAGACAAGTTCTGTGAAACTTCTGCTGCTGCTTTCCAATTGAAAAGCGAAAAAGCTTGTTTGTTTTTTTGATGGTACCTTAGACGGATGCTTGTTGGTAACAATTTAGCCCGCTGCTCTATTTTTGAGATAAATACGAAAATGTTGTTTCTTTACCATTGAGCTGGTAATTGGAAGTATAAATTTCATTCATGATCTTTGCTGCTTGGGCGAATAATCCATTGATCCTTTTGCTGCATCACTCAAAGAAAATCCAGTTTGAATTTTCATGTTGAAATAATGTAATGGTTATGCTCA